AGGACCAGTTAGCCACTTTAAGGAATTCATGTTTTTATGGCTTCCTCTAATGAAGCTTATGGCTCTCCTGCAATTTACACATTCTATCAACACCCATCACACCTATGAGGACCTAAAATGCACACCTGGAGAATGGCACGTGCTATTCTTTTGATTATTCCCAGCACATGTAATGACTCCTCTAATGAAGCTTATGGCTCTCCTGCAATTTACACATTCTATCAACACCCATCACACCTATGAGGACCTAAGATGCACACCTGGAGAATGGCACGTGCTGTTCTTTTGATTATTCCCAGCACATGTAATGATGCTTCTCTGTGTGCACAGACACTATCCCAGATTTCCTATGCTATTTCATCTCACATTTACTGCTCTGTGTTGCTACTGACGCATGTCTATAACTTAGGGAAGTCTGAACATGTGGCAGACAGGGAATCACAGGCTACTGTCATGCAATCACATTAGACACTATTTGCTCTAATACGTCACTGACTTGTTCCATCAAACATCAACAGAGGCACTCAGTGTAGACAAAGGCACCTGCAAGCAGTAGGCTATATAGATATGCAGGGCTTTGTGTAGTCTGTCCTTTGGCCCTGCCTGGCTCTAGCCCTGCCTTCCAAAGGGGATGCGTCTTCTCTTCACTATGTGACCGCCTCCTTGTCCCCTCCACTCAGCCTTTGCTGACCCCTGCCCTTTAAGCCACTTTCTACACTGTCTACACGTTTTCCAACACTAGGCCGGCAGTTTGGGCAGTATTGCATTGTTTCTGCCAGTCTTCCGGTTAAAAGTGCTTGGTCTGGGTTGTTGTCTATTGCTAACTCTAGCTCTCCTTTGAGCACCATTCTACAAACAGGGTATTCAAGGAGCTTATAAATATAGCACTTTGCCCAGATGTCTGCTTTACTTTTCTGCTCTGGTTATACTGAGGAGACAGCCTTGGTGTGTGAACTGGCTTGCCTGCTCTATAGCTGGTAGATAGTAGGAACACCAGAGCCCATGTTCTCCTTGCCCTGACTGCCCATCAGTCCAGCTGTCATTCAGGTCTCTACTGACTCCCATGCCTAGAGACACTGGAGATGCTCACAGTGTAGTCCTAAGTCAATCTCAGAATTTGAAGGACCAAGGTCATACCCTGAGCATCTTAGGTTCTCATAGGTGTGATGGGCATGGTCCAGGTAACTGGCCTGAGGGTGCCTGTCTGTCCCTCTCCATGCATTATATAGGGTTTCATGCCCCAAAAGAATCCCATCTCAGCCCCTACACTGTCCTCAGCACACACAGTATGAACTCAGCAGACTTGATTGAGATCAGGGAGCAAGGGTCAGGATCATCTGAGTCTCTGCTTTTCCCACCTGTCCAAGGGTTTGAGAACCCCCAATCCTCATAGATGATGAAGAGAGGAAAAACTGGTCCCATTGCTCTTCTTCATTCCAACCTGAGCACTTCCCACCCTTTGAGATGCTCTCAGCCTCATATTTACTCGTCTGTCACTCAGTAGTTCTGTTCTGCTCACAGCTTTAGACACAGGGTACTAAAATCCTTGGGGTCCTGTGGTGCCCAGTGAGAGACAGGGGCATGCCAAGGCTGTGTGCCCCTGCTGGGAGTCATGTTCTTGACACTGGAGCAGGTCACAGTGATCATATTTGAATATAGTGGGTAGCAAGGTGCTTTCTCTTTCCAGACCTCATCTGTTGGTTGGGGTCTGGCTAGACCATCTGCAGGAGTCTCCCAACATTGGCCTCCTATGATGCTAAAGATCACAAGAGCTCCCTACAGGTTCAAGGACAAAGGCCTCAGCCAGCATAGAGAGATAGTGCTGGACATCACAGCAAGCTGGGAGTCCTTGTGCCTCTGCTGGGTCCCATCACCATAGTCACTTAGGGTGAAGGATGGAACTGGATATAACTAGTTGCTCTCAGGTGCCAAGGACTGTTTAGAAACTGCTTTCTTTCCTCCCTGAAGGTGACACATTGTTGCTATGTTGGAGAAGAGACTGAGCTTCAATTAGAAGTGACAAGTTTTCTGGTCAGAGATGGAGAAAATGGGGGACGCTGAGCCCAGCTGCCCTCCCCTTCCAAGACAGCAGGGTCACATCTCTGCTTTAAAGAGAACAGCAAAACAAAAAAGCAAGCCAATTTCTGCCCCTGATTTAGTTTGGCAACAAAGAAGTTCTCACTTTCCCCTGTAATCTTCCTCCAAGTATAAACTTCCAGGAGGCAGGCAGAAAGAACAAAACAACACTCATGAAATACAACTGTATTTTTTCAAGTGTGATTAAAAAACTAAATTACAGTTTTAAGAAACATTTTTAGTAGGGGTTACTTTATTTATTTTGGTTTTTATTTTTAGAAAATAGTCCCTAAGCTTTGTTGTGCTTAAAAGTAGATGGCAGAAATAATTATATAGTGAGGCGGAAATCCCAATGGCCCTGGCTGTGGATCAGAGAGAACCCCAGACCAACAGACTCTGGTGACCCCTACACACTCTGCTCAGTCAGGACAGAGACGTGATGGGAACACACACAGTGCTTGTCCCTGTAAGGATGAAGAATGCTGTAGGGTCAACTGAGGCTGGGTCCTGATCATCTGATGCCAGTGGCTCCCAGCTCAAGGCTGAGGCTACAGGATGCTACGGGTCATCTGTCTGGATTGTAGCCCCGAGAGAACACCTCACTCCTCTTCACTCCAACCCCAGGTCCCCAGTCCAGTCACCATTAACTGTTTTCTGGTCCTAGGTCATCAGGAATGAGAGTAGTCATGGAAGTTCTCATTTCTCAAGTACCTGCCAAAAACGGGGCCACCTCATCCCAGCCTCTAACACCCAGATCCAAGCAGTACCACTGTTGCACTGGTGAGAATATGAAAGTCAAGAATGTCCAGGAAGGTTCCAGAGATCACACAGCTAACACAGGGCTGAAGGGTTTAGCCCAGACAAGTGGACTTCACATTCTGGTTCTCAGAATCACCAGTAAGCCAGAGTCCCAAGAAGCAGTCCAAGGGCAGCAGAAGGAACCACAGGCCACAGTTGGACTCAAGCTGTATATTGCTTGCTCCTCCCTGACCCAGAAGATATGGAACAGGAGGTCAGCAAGGCAAGGAGAGGGGCACAAGCCACCCAAGTCTGGGGACACTCGCTGCTCATCTCCCACATGCTACAGGGGCCCAGCCTGTCTCCCTGCCATCCCTGTCCCTCTTTTCTTCTGAGAATGTTGAGACCCCAAGCCAGCTCCCCCAGGGACTGACAGAAAGACTCTGGGAGGGCTGTCAAGATGGCTCAGTAGGTAAGGCGGCTGTCACCAAGTGGCATAACCTGAGTTGAATCCCCAGGATACACATGGTAGAAGGAGAGAACTGGCTCCCTTAGGTTGTCTTCTGACCTCCACATGCATATTAGCACATGTGCACTAACACACACACACACACACACACACACACACACACACACACGTGATATCACTGTTTAAAAGAAAGATCAACAGGATAACTAAGGAGAGTCTGTGTCCCTAGGGCCTTCTGCAAGTTTGGATGTGGCAGCGAATGGGGCACATGGGAAAGCAAGCTGCGTCATACATGGCAGCACACTTCTTGCTACTCATGTGGTCCCAGCCCTTGGATGGTTATTAGGAATGCAGCTTCTCTGCCTACCCAACCATGGGCTCAGACTCTGTAGCCCACTTATCCCCTAGATGTCATGTACACACACTGCCACTGGAGTGGGTCCCTGGAGCACAGGGATGGAAAAGGAAATCCTTTCAGGTCTGGGTTGAAGAAAAGAAGAAAAAGATCTGGTGGTGACTGATCTACAGGAAGGAAAGAGAAGAAAACATGGGAGTAGAAGGCCTGGGAGGCATGGTCCAGGCCCTGCTGGAAGGCCGCATGCAGAGAACATCAGGCCCTGGCATGAGTACGTGCACACCAGGAGGGTCTGCCCTGTGTGTGGTTGCACTGTGTCTGTGCTATGACTGGCTCCTTGGTTCCTGCAGCATGAGGCTTACTGCCCCAGCAGATTGGGGTGAGGACTGAATGACCCAAATGCATGCCATGGGGAAAGTCATTTGCAGCGGTTGGGAGGCCACTCTCTGCTGGCAGACAACAGGTGGGCTAAGCCTGCTGTAAACAGGATGGCAGAAGCTGGGTCCCATGCATAGCGCACAGAGGATAGTCTGCTCCCTATAGATGCACCCTGCTAGAAAACACTCCAAACACAACCGAGGGACACCCCACCCTTGAGCCACCCATCCCAGCGTCACCAACCTACCCTTCTTCACATATACAGCCAGAGACTCTGAGTTGCCACTCCTCACTTTCACCTGACACATAAGGCTTCCAAAGATGGTTGCCTTTGAGCTTCCCAGAGTATCTTGTTCCTAGAAGTACAAAGAGGCCCCGTTATCATCCAGAGTGTTTCACACACTTCAAAGCAACACACATTTAGTAAACTCTGACGACAGTTACACAGAGGGGCTGCCAGGTAAATGAGTGAAGGCACGTGGTTTTTAATCTTGTTCTGTTACAGGGGACACACGTGGAAGAAGCAAATTCCTGCCCAGCTGCACAGAGACACTGGCAGAAGAGGAGGTGGTCACAGAGGAGGGAGTGATTAATCCTATTAAGGAGGACCTAGGAAAGCGTCCCAGAAAAAGTGAATATGGGTGAGGTGCTGACGTACACGTGAGAGGCAGGCAGGCTGGAACAAGAGACAGAAGATGTTAAGTGAGAAAATAGAAGACTTGGAGACCTGGGATTCCATGGCTGTTTTAATGACTCAGTTCAGGGAATGGCAAGAGAAGGGGAAAGAAGCAGGAGCCAGCCCAGGGGAGACCTTGCAGGGGCACGGCTCCTGTCCCAGGGAGGTTTTGAAGCTTGGGGAGGTGAGGGCAGGCTTCTAGAGCATCTCCCCTTCTTGGTTATCTCTGGTGTCTTTTCTGATTTGTTTTTCGCTCTTCTTCCAGGCAGGTGGGACGAAGGTGACCATACCCACTTGTGGTTGTTCCCAGTGCCTTACCCCTCCTCAGCTGTGGAGTTTCCCATGGGGACTTATTTGGGGGCAGAGGCTACTTGAGGGCACTGGTTCTGCTTTGCTCACAGAAGAGATGAAGGCTTGAGTAGGGAAGTAAGGCTCATGGAGAGACAGGAGGAGGGGACCACAGCAGACCTGAAGAACTGGCCTGGAAACCCAGACCTTCTTACCCCTGCAAACTTATGGTCCACAGGGAGCTTCCAGTTGGCCTAGTTAGGGTGGCAGAGGTTTGAGGGGATAACATTAGTATCAGTGATGACCATCATACTAATGTTCACAAAGGAAATTGTTCTGTGAGCTGCTCCATGGATGCCTTCTTCAGGCCTCACAATGGTCCTGTGATGCAGGTGCCCGTTATTATTTACTACTGTGTGAGTGATCTGAGGGAACTAGGGGTTAAATAACAGAAAGCAAGTGGGGGGGGGCTGAGATTTGAACCCAAGCCCTACTGGCATCTCCTTTATATTTGGGCTTATAAGCTACAAGCCCAAAATCAAGAGCCCTAAAACTCAGGGAGGCCCTCTCCAGGTCCCAGGCATGGTATCACTCATAAATACTCCTACATATATGCATGGGCACAGGGGCATGTAGAGTCCAGTGCTGGTGATATCAGAAAACAGCCATGAACCTGAGTGTCCTGAACTGAGGGCACTATGGACTGGCCACCACACCAAACAGATGTAGAAAGGTAAAACCCATGGGGAAGTGAGGGTAGAAAATACTCACTATAATGTTAGCATACACAAGCAAAACATGTTCATAAATACATACATTTTCCATGAGGACCCAGAAGAACCTGGGCAGTGAAGTGTAGACTTGTGGTCAGGGGTTTAAAGGCCTGGACCTTGGATTTGATCTTGGCTAGATGACCTTCTTCCTAATGTAATAGCCCTATAAAATTTCCCATCTTTCACCAGTTTTCACTTACAGAAATGGCAATCTCATGAGGTTCCGATGAATGTCCAGACTTTTTTATTTTCCATTAATAATCATGTCTGACTGCCACAATGGAAGAAATGCTGGTATCCAGAGCCCAGGGGCCAGATGGTATTTAGGGCTCTGGATAATTACCCCTTGGCCAAAGGGCCCAAGCTGCCTGACAAGGTAAGCGATGGCAGAGGGAAAGTGAGTATGCCACACTGAGGCTCTCACCTGACTGTTCAGACAAGACCCTGCTCCTGCTGTCACCTCCTCCTCAGTCTTTGCTCTACTACAGCTACAATTCTGTCTCATCACTCTGAAGAACTGCAGGAGCAGGGTCACCTGACTGAATATGAGAGCATGTCTGACACTGCTTTGAAAAGGAACGTTGTCTCACCTGACCAGAAGTCACGCAGGCAAAGTTGTCACTTGTCCAAGAATAAAAATCACATGAGACCTCCAACCCCATTGTGGACACCGCGAGGAAGCTGCAGGCCTCGTCATCTGCACAATCTGCAAGTACCACAGTCACTACCCAGCTCTCAGATGATGTTGAGGATGAGCGAGACCTGTGCCCTGCCTTTGCCCTCATACCCACACACAGACTCCCACTGTACCTAACATACATCCACACACTATATTCAAACATACATGCTCACACTGTCCTGAAATGATGAGCGAGACCTGTGCCCTGCCTTTGCCCTCATACCCACACACAGACTCCTACTTACCTAACATACATCCACACACTATATTCAAACATACATGTTCACACTGTCCTGAAAC